TATGCCTATGTATAAAGCATTACCGTAACGCAAGACAATTTAGATCATATATATAATATATATATATATTATATATATATATATGTATATATATGTGTGTGTGTGTGCGTTTGTGTTTGTCCAATTAAAGACAACTTTTCTGTGGTCCCGTTTCCATTCCACTCCCTTAAAATTAGCTGTTCCCTCCAATTAAAGACTCCCGCTATTTAGAGACCAAAGATCGGCGTACGGTAAAAATAGCCCCGGAAAAAATGACCCCGGGTAAAAATGGCCCTATATGACAGGTAGGTAAAAATGGCCTCCAATTATAAAATTCAGTAATAAAAATGACCCTTTTTAAAATCTTCAAATATTTAAATGCTGCAAAATAGTAAGAATTTAATCAATAAATCAAACAAATTCCCCCTCCCCCAATGATAAAATTCAGTACCGGTAATAAAATTAATTTTGTAAAAATCTTCAAACTGTTCTAAATGCTGTGAAATAGCAAACATTTATTCAATAAATCAACATAAATTATACGCTTTTGAAAAAAATTAAAATTCGGTAATAAAAATTGATATTTTTAAAATCTTCAAAATAAATGCTGTAAAATAGCAAAAATTAAATTAAGAAATCAACATAAATCATATGCATTTTTGAAAACTAAAATAAATACCGGTAATATAAATTAGTTACTTTTTTGCAGGATTCATAAAAAAATAAATAACATACGGTACGGTAGTCCATGGATTAAAAAAAAAGAAGTAATAAATAACATGTTTTCATCAAAATGATACTGTACAGTACTAGCTTCTACTGCATGTTGTTAAATATTTGTTTTATAAACTATGTATTGATAATATATTGTTTGGGCCACAGGCCTATATGATAATACAGTAACTCATTTTAAGAAGGCAGGTCTCTATTATGTGAAAGTTGTTGTAATCTTAATACGGTAAGCAGGCCTGTGGGTTCAGTGGAGGATTCAAGAGTGGAAAGCCAGCCGACACGGGCCCCACTAAACTTTTCAAAAAGAAAAGAAAATGAGAAAAAAAGACTCAATTCTACTCAAATTTTTAGTAGAGTGCCATAATACCATTCCCAGCCATCTAGAGGTTCCATAATCATAAATGTTTAGTTTACCTCATTCCCAACCACGGTGGGGCTGAGGTAGTATAGACCCTCCATCTGTGAATGTACCTCTCTTGGCCCCCTCTATTTCAAATTCCTGGGGGGAGGAACCCCTCATTTCTAGCAAACTCCCTCTTTTCTGGCGAAACCCCCCCTCCCTTGAATTTCCCAAACGAGTTCTCCAACTCATGCACAGCAAACCCACCCAGACTCGGAATAATTCAGACTTTTTTTAGAACGTAACTGCTTTTATAGCATTATTTAGACCCATAGAACACAAAAATCATCTGGCTTCGGGCGATTTTGCCGACTCTACCGGGCTTCGACACAGGACTTCACATCCAAAGAACCCCCTCTTGGAAGAACCTGGCTCGGGCCTGGTAAGTGACTGTGAAAGTTACAATTAAATACAATTAAATTGGTCGATTTTTATTGGTTGGGAATCTACACCTATTTTAGGGAATAAGTACAGAGTACCGTACCTTCATATTATATTAAAGTTTTAGTTGGTATATTTGGTAATATTATCAGAAACTACAGGCATACATTATTCTATGGGAAGCACCCGCCTTGGGTTACAAGTATTTATTTTATCCTATTTATTCTGTTATTCAACTTTTATTTACTTTTCCCTGCTTCCGGATGAGACTCCCATCTGCGGTAGAAGCTCGGGCCGAAGCCTTCATTTTGAAAGTTGGCGCTAAATCCAGGAAGAAGTTAAAAATTCTGCAAATTGTCACTCCACTTCCGTGAAATATCCCAAAACTAAATTAATTATGTACGGTATACCGGTATTAAAAAATGCATATGATTTATGTTGATTTATTTATTGATTAAACCGTTGCTATTTTGGAAGATTGAAAAAGTTGGAAAATAAAAGAAATAATAAAAAAATTTATATTTATGAAGTTTTGTTATTTTGCAGCATTTAAAAAATGGAAAGATTTTTAAAAATCAGTTTTAATACAGAATTTTATCATTGGGGGCCCTTTTTTTCCGGGCCATTCTTTCAGGTGCCATTTTTTCCGGGAATATTTTTGCCTACAACCCCAAAGACCATGGTTTTGGTGGATCCAAGTGAAAATGTTCCCTTTAATTAAAGCCCACTATAAAATAAATAATGAGATTTTTTTTTCTATAGACCCTAATAGATATTGTTACCGGGGCTTAAAACATAAAAAATATTATCCAATTGTGGGTGGGGGGAGGGGTAGGGGTGGCTGCTCCGACAATCTGAGCATTTTAAGCTGTTTTAAAAAGATTTCAGGGACTGTACATAATACCGGGTAAATAACAAAAATACTCTAGTAAAGCCACGAGAATTTGTACAAAAACTTTTCATTACTCAATTAAACAAAAAATTAATAGGCATACTGATAAATTTTTAATAACGCGTCAGTGAATTACCGTATGTATTCACTTAAATACTTACCTGACAGCTTGCGTGTTTTATGACAACTGCAGTTTCAGTCACTGCATTACCGTTTTTATATTTTAAATAAAACCAATTTCTTCTAATTTTAAATACATTTCCCATGAATTCGTGATCATTCGTTATCACGCTAAATTTATGATCACGCATGTGTTTCTGCACAATGCGTACGGTATTTCATCCAAAAATCACTTTGAAATGCGGGACCGTCCCGCAAGATGCGATACGGTTGCTTTTATGTTCTTATTTTCTTGCCGATTTCAGGCTCAAATGTTCTTATTTTGTTCTTAGTTTTACATACTTTAATTATTATTGTACAGTCTGTACTGTATGAGCGCATTACGTTAACCCCACTGCAAATAAGATGTTGGTTTTCTACTTATTATTACTTTTTTTTAATTTTTTAATTTTTTTATGAAGATCTCATTTGGCATTTTACTTACAGCCTCTATTTGTTCTTATTTGTTCCTAATTTCAGCCTTAATGTTCTTATAGGAGAGTAAGTATAGACTTAATGTGGGACGTGATTTAAAAAAAAATGATTTATTTGCTTCTATGCTTTTCAAATGAAATATGTGCTAAAATTCACGACCAGAATGGGATGATGCCAGTTGCCATTCACCAATAATACTGTATCTCACTTTTTAAGATGAATAGTTTCCCAATTTTGGAATATCCTTATAATTATGATTATTGCCTGCATAATTATTAACGATGTAAGCCAAGCAAATATATCGACTCAAAGAGTAAACTGTAGCTGGGAGCTCGGCGGTTGTGGTGGTTCTGGTAAGGACATTATCACCACCACCATCAACATCATCATCAGGTCTTCAGAATGGGTGCCTTTAGGATGTTTGCCTTATTTAAGGACTGATGCAGAGCAAAAAATATTGGTTTTAAAAAGTAAATATTTAAAGATGTCATAAGTTACAAAAATACTTTCTATTCTATTCCGTATATTCCGTAATTTGGTCTGTTTTCAATAGTCTTTGCGGGGGGGTGGGGGTGTGGTGGCTGGGTATATAACCCCTCAAACCCCTCTTTCTTTTGTGCAGTTTTGATAATGATGTTCAAAACACCTCCGACCACAACGAATCATTGCCATATAGGCCTAAATGAAGAAAAGCAGAGTTCCATTTACTTTCATTTTAGTTAATAATTGAATTTTTTATTCGAAAAGTTTGCTACTGTTGTACTTCGATCATTGACCTTGAAAATGTCATTGAACCGGATGGAAACAATACGCGCCAGACGATGACGTCACACCGGAAGAAAACGTAATACAGTACTATACTGATAGCTGTTTGACTTCCAAAACAACTGTTTGACTCGCAGATCAAACCAAGGAGGACCAACTTATATCATGCCATATGAGTAAAATGAATAAAAACAGATGATTTAGTTTATTTAAAATATTTATTTAGGTTTGTGTGATGGTCTGGTGTAATGTTTTTATATTCAATATATTTTATTTTATTTTAACTTTATTTTAAGAGATGGTAACCCATCCAAGTAAGTTTTGAAATATTTAGCATTAAACATCTATATTCAACGACAAAACAAATAATTGTAATTATGTTATACAGGTTATATTAGAATTATATTATACTAAATATATGTTTTACATTTAGGAAAGCATCGTTACCAATTTTCTAAATGTTGTTATTATCAATAGGCTTGAATTCTGATTCTAATGCGATTTTGCCTTCGATACAAACTATTGAACACTAGAGGAAGAGTTTTTCTTTAAGAAGTTGGTGTTTGAAAGGAAGTGATGATGCACATCGATATAAAGAACCTTTCCTATATAAATAGATATTTTTTTAAGGCAAATATCACTATTGGGTTTTTACTGGTGCATTGATATTCAAAGTAAAACATGATTAAGACAATCATCCAAATATATAAGTAATCATGCGCGCGTGAGGGTAGTAATAATTTTTGTTTTATTGGGCATGAGCCAGATGTGTATACTGGGCCAAGGATTTAGAATCCTAAAACCCGCGCTAAAGGTCTTGCATTAGTCGATATTATTCACAATATTATCAATTCTTATTCTATTATAATATTATATACCTGTATATTGTTATTGTGACGCCTTTGATTAGCCAGTTTATGAATTAATACCCCTCCGGGAACCAGAGTATGGCTGATTGTTTACATACGGTCGCCTGTAATAGATTAAGCCGAGAGAAATGTGGGCGGGGTTTTCCCATGCTTAGGATTTCTCGGGACCTAGTACTAACAAAAGGCCGGCACGTGGTTGTGACACGTTATCGTATGCGGTGAGTAGCCGCATGCCTTTGCAAAGTCAACTGTCAACATTGATTACCTAGGTGTACGTACGTCACAAGAAACATTTAGCCAATCAATGATTGTATTTTTACAGTGACTTGAATCATACGTCCAATGAGCGTCGCGCGTGAGCGGTAGATAAAGCTTGATGACGAGCGAACAAGATAAGCCCCTAATATCGACAAGCTTATTGGCCGTGAGCGTTGGAATGCATACCAACTAGCGTGAGAAACCTGAAGTAAGATCGTTCACACGAGACTGGCACTCGCACGACATGCTAACCCGCTGAAAGGGCCAAAAAGTTACTCAGACACATTCCCTCACTCGATCATTGTTGCATAGGATTTCACCGCGTAAACACCTGTACGTTGTTGTCGCACGTCAGGTCTGCTGTCATTCCGATACACGGTGTTGTAGAACGTGAATCCCTTTATAGTAGTATAAACACTATACCAACTTGTTGCATTTTTTTGCTCTCAATATGCCTGTGGATAATACCAAAACGAAAACAACTGAAGGGAGAAAGGTACAGATATTTTACTTTTTTTGTATACATTTTAACGGAAGTTTAAATTTCCGGTTTTCTTTGGTTTAGTTTTGAAGTTTGCTTGCACCAATGAATGTCACTTTCAATGAACTATGTTTATAACCTTTATTTTTAATTAAATGTTTTTATTTTTATTTAGTCGTTTCTCGTTATTTCTTTCATTTTAATTCACTTTTAATTTGTCTTGTATCTTGCAGTCTTCTAAGCCATTGATGGAGAAGAGACGTAGAGCACGAATCAATGACAGTCTTGGGCAACTGAAAACTTTGATTTTAGAAGCAACTAATAAAGATGTAAGTGATGGTCTTCAATACTGACACTTAGTCTTGCTGTATTTATTTGCTATTAAAATAAGAAGTAGCTAAACGAGGCTTATATTAAATGTGTTAACTAAATGGTAAATTACACACATATATAT